TTGTCCTCTGCCCACGTGCTGCTCAGAAAACTTAAATTTAGTCTTCTCGTGCCCGCGGGTAACATGTACGACCTCGTGGAGGTTTTAACAAGGAAAATTATTATCTTGGGAACAGCAGGAGCTAAGAAGCTGAAATTTTATGAGTATGTTCCCTGCCCGCGTGCGACCTTAAAAGCTTAAATTCAACTTTCCCATATGCTTGAGTATCACGTATGGCCCCGTGAAAGTTTTAGCGGAGAAGTTATCCTGGGAACCAGGAAAACAAGGGAGCTGAAATTTAATAAGAAGGTTTCCTGCCCTTTTGCGATCCCATAAACTCGAAATCAATTCTCAGTTAAGCCTGGGTCTCAACTGTGCCTCACTGAAAGTTTCGGTAGGAAAAATTATTCGGTAGGAAAAATTATTATCTCAGAAGCCGTAAAAAAATGGGAAACTGAGATTTTGGGAGAATGTGATCTCGCATAATCAAATGCAGCTTTCATTTACACCTGCGTCTCTTATGCGGCCCGCGAAAGTTTTGGTGGGAAACATTATTATCTCGGCATCCAGAACAGCTGTGGGACTAAAATTTCAGGAGGGTGTTTTGTGCTTGTGAGGGCACTCCAAAAACTCGAATTTAGGTCCCAAATATGCGAAGGTCTTACGTACGACCACGAGAAAGTTTTAATATGAAAGTCACTAGCTCGGGAGCCGGAAAATGAGAGGTTGAAATTTGGAAGGATGTTCCTTATCCAGAGTTTCAAGTTCTGTTTCCATGTACTGGCACTTCAAACTTTTGTTAAGAAATCCGTTAGCTGCGAGCCGGACAGTATATTGACTATTTTTCCACACATGTAAGTCCTTAGCAGACAAGAATTCGCTGGACAGGATTGGGCAAAACGCATGATCGATACCCTAATGCGCGCCGCTATTTATTCAATTATGCTGCCGAACAAGCTTAGAAGCTGGTGTGGGATTTCTCGGGTGTAGAAAGTGTAATCATTTTTTATGTTCAGAGAGGTATTTT